TTGAGTGACTATCGGGCCTTGTATAACAGTAAAAAAATATATACTTGTTTTTCTTTGTTTGCTTTTTTCTTGATTGAAGTCAATATTCCAAAAATACACATCTGTGTAATAACACTTCTGAAAACTGACATTTTCTAACCAATCTCCGTGTTGATAAAACCAATTTCCACAAATGAGGAATTTATCTCAAATTTCCTCTTCTCATTTTGAGTTTCTATCAAAGGAAATTTTTAAGGTTCCACTTTAGATTTGCCAAATTGTCAAATCACTGCTGTTGATCAAAGAATTCTCAGCTGTCATTAAGAAGCCATCCTGATTATTATTCTAGTTTCCTTATGACAAAGAACATTCAATCGAATATCATCAATGAAGAATTCTGCTTGCTACCAAGTCTCTTTCTTCCTGGAAGTTCATGTTTTAATATTTTCTTGCTTTTTTTATCCAGAGCAAGTACCAAATTTCTTTTACCATTTTCAGACATCTGTATCTTTTCTTTTCTTCAAATAACCTTCCTCTTTTTCCTTTCAGTTTTCTTTTCTCTTCTTCCATATCTTTTCTTTTCCTGATTCTTCTTTTCTTTACTCTTCTTACACCTTCATTTCTGTTTCTTTTTTACTTACAAATTTTTTTCAATTTATTTCTTGTCTTCTGCTTCTTCCAAATGTTGAACTGAGTTCAAATTCCAGTCAGGTTCATTACATTCACTTGTACGCAAATACCCTTGGGAAAGCTTTAAACCAATCTCCTCCTCTCAGTTCTTAGTTAAATAGACTTATATCTGGAAAAATAATTGTCAAAAAATCATTAATTTTGCAATATTCACTCAGAAAAACAAAGAATTACTTAAAACTATTTAATACAGGCTAATTTTCATATTTTTTCAGTCATTATATTACTTTATTGATATATATATATATATATATATATATATATATATATATATATATATATGTAATCTCTTTCCTCACTGATAGCACAACTCTGAATTTCATGCTCAATGCAATCTTCAGGTGCCAATTGATAACTCTTGTGTTGTGCATGAAACTCTGTGTTGCGATATCAGCAAGGAAAAAAACGTATATTTATTATTAATATATAAATTATAGCTCTGATATTCTACTTTAAGCACTATTTTATTAACACCAGCACTGGATGTGCAATATTAAATACTCATATTTATATATATATATATATATATATATATATATATATATTTGACCTCAGTTGCTATCATAATGTCTACAACACCATGCTGCACTTAATTATGAACACTATAATCTTTTTTCAAAAGCAGTATAGTATATGCATCCCTATTGTCCTAAGGTTGGGGTTTAGAGTCCTTCTCTAGAGAAGTGATGGATTCATAACTTTCTCAAGAGTATTTCTGCAAAAGCAAATATAATGAACATGGCCTGAAGACAAATTTGGTTCACCAATTTCTCTATATGCATTGACTTTCTGAACAAAAGCAAAAACCTATAAAAAATGACATGATAAGCCTGAAGACAAATTTGGTTAAATTTCTCTAAATATTCCAGCATTGACTTTATATAATATATATATATATATATATATATACTAAAAAAACAGAATGTTGTTGTGTGGCTGACAGAAAAAATTTTCCTTGAAAAAAGAAAAATGAACGAAAAAAAAGTTTAAAAGGCAAACAACTACACAATAAATTAAAGTTCTCAATGCCAAGATAGAGCAAAAATTGTTATAGTTGCCTGTAGATATTTATTATCGCTTCAAAATAATATTATTCAAACTTCATCCCCTTCTCCTTAATTTGGTGTGAACATCATTGAATAAAAGGAATGGCTAAATGGCCCGTGGATGGGAAATATGAAAGACATGCGGAGAAAAAACAATGTCATCTGCTAAGTGTTGCTGTCATCACCCAGGTCACGAGGTGTTAAAAACAAAACAATACACATCAAGCCAAAAAACAAATCTTATATCAATCCCTACCAATATTGACCCTATATTTTCACTCTTTGCTCTTATCTAGGAGTGGTGGGTTTTATTACAAGCTGACGACAACTTGTTCTACACATTTATTGCTGGCTGGCTGGCTGGCTGACATTTGACCTAGACATGTCAAAGTCAATTTGGCTTAATTTTCCTTATCACTTCTATCTTTTGGAAAAAAAAAACCCAAACCTTTGGTTTCTGGTGGTCAGGAATTGCAGATAAATCTTTCGCCTTTTGCTAAAGATTTCCATGGCTACATGTCAATTTTTTTAACCCCTGGCAGTCATATAATTGAAAATTACCAAATAGACTTTGTCACATTTTGACCCCCTAGGATTGTTGATTTCCTTCAAAACTCTCAATTTTATGCCTGAAATAGTTTGATTATGATTTAGGCAGATTTTTAAAAAAAAATGGTTAATTTCTCATTAATGGGGGAAATATTTGTTTAGAACAAGAAAAAAATGCAAAATTTTCGCTATTTTTTCATATTTGACTTTAATCCTGATCTATAAATTTGGTTGGAGGCTTTTGTATAAACCTTTTTATACAAACCATTGATGACATGATAAGTCAATAGTCATCGAAAAAAAATTTGAGTCATTTACACCAGCTAATTTTACTTTTAAATGAAAGAATATATCCTTTACTTTCAGAAAATACCTAGTTTCATGGGGTTCAGATCAAAAGTTTCCTTGATATTTGTTTAGATGAAGACAAAACAGTCATTTTTCAATATTTTACCCCTATAGAAGTATGAAAATCCTTTTTTTTTCAGAGAAAATAAGCTGTGACAAAATGACGTTTGCTATTTTTGTGATTATTTTTACTTGGGATAGAACCTTTTTACCATAGCAAACCTGAATTGACTTTATTTAAGTTCAGTGGGGCTATAGGAAACCTCAAACAGCTGTGCCTACACAGACTCATCATTTGGCCTGATGTGCTATAACATTTAGCTACAGAGGAAATGTCTGGTTAGTAAAGTCAAATTACTGTTTTAAACAACAAATTTCCAATAATTTTTCTCAAACGATCATATCTGCTTGAATTGAAATAATTATCAGACTTAGACCATTTCAATATATATGTTTTCATTTGTTTATGTTAACATATACATCGAGCAAATATGATCGTTCAAGAAAACTCATATAAAAAATAGTTTTAAGGTATGCTGTATTTATAAGTTAGTGCTCAATATCTGGGTTTGAGAATATGCAAATATAAAAGTGGACAAATATGTCAGCACTCTGTTTCATGATTAAGCACAATCATCAGGCCATACACATATGGCCTGATGATTGCATTTAAGCATGCCACCTCTGTGTGTTGACCTCCATTTCCATTCATACATATATATATGTATATATATATTTTGTGGAGTTATTTCTCAGTGGAGGCTTGTAGTGTACTAAATCGGTCCTAAAATAGGTTCGACGTACCAAACATTAGGGACTTGATATAATTACGCAGAGTAATCTAGTTGTGGTCGCTGATACTTTCGTATTCGACTAACTGTCATCCGACATCAACTGACTGACTGACTGACTGACTGACCCCCCGTTTCTATTACTACTTCTACTTATTATAGGCGGGAGAGTCTATTAACTATAGAATAGGTGTGTTCCACCATAACAATATATATATATATATCAATGAGAGGTACAGAGATTATTTGCTGATAGAGCTATTTACATATTTCTTTCCATACTTCCTAACAATAATACCTTCCCTAATTTAATATTTGGAGCAACATAATCCTCATATGCCCAATTTTGCCTATTTTGGCTTTTAAATGCAAAAGTAAGTTTAGTCAAACTTGAAATAATTATGTATTTTCTCACAGCACAAGAGTTTGGTATTCAGGCTCAAGTATGGACTGGAGCAACACTCTCTTCCTACTCGTGATCCACTGACAGATAATGTCAAGCTTATTCAGTATATGTAAACAATTCTTCTTCCTTTTTTAAAAAAAAAACCTATCAGTACCAATGCAATGATGATTTTTTACAGTTTCCTTTTCTTTAATATGCATGAATTACCCTGGCTTCTTGGGGAAAATAGTGGCATCATTTCCTATTATCCTAAGGTTTAGAATTCAGAATTCTTTTTTTCAGACTGATTGCTACTCAAAGCTACATAGACTACTCTACTCTGTTATTTAACTTTTAGTTATGGCAAGAAAAGATGCATGTTATTACTAAAGGAATTAAAGTGAAACTGAATTCAACAAACTAGGTTGGAATTTGAACTTGACTCGATGATTATACTTTCTATACCAATAACTCGAACATCTGTCTATTAATATAATGGGCCAGAACAAATGTTTATAGTGATTTTTAAGTGTATTTCAAAGATAATACTTGTATATATTTGTATGAAAATTTATCTTTAATGTAGCTTCATGATTCCATTCTACCAGAACTTAGCTTCTTTCTGGGTGGTGGGTGCTAGGTCTGAACTGATCTAAGTGGTTTTTACAGAATTCCAAAGAGTTGAAGCTTTTTGCATTAAGAGAATTTTGTAGGGAGCAAAATAAGTGATAATCCAATGGTCAAAATTCAAGTGAATATGGCGGGTGTAGAAGGACCTCCCAATAGAGATTAGTAATTTCTGCCAGGTCTGTAAAGAGATGTGAGGTCTGGTGTCATTCTGATGGAAAATGTCACCCTTCCGATTGGGACATTCCAGATGCTTTTCATTGATTGCCATCTTTAATCCATCCAATTGGGAACAGTGCTTGGAAAAACACCACAACCTTTTCTTTCAATCTAATACTTAAATTCTTTCACACACACATATACACACACACACACACAACACACACACACACACAGACAAACAGACAGACAGAAAAGAGAATAATTTTATTGAGATCTCTTTTTTGAGAAAATATAAAATCCCTTATGTTAGGCTTTGTAAACAAGAATGATCTAGATATAACATATTTATAATCAATGGTGAAAAGGTCAAGGTCATAGGGTTCAAATTTTGGCAAGTAATTCGCATCAGGTACAGGAGTTGCTATGGTTTCAAATCCTCTTGACTCCATTGCTCTTTTCTCTCCTTTTCTCTTCCTCCTCTTTATTTCCAATCATTTTGTTTCTCTCTCTTTCTCAAGAATGTTTTCCTTTTCTTCTCCCCCCCTCCACTGTTTTCTATCAATATAACCCGTTTTCTCTTTTATAATTAAGACATTTACTATTTATTATATAACCATTTGCTTTTCTCTCTTTCCTCATTCATTCTTTCTCCCCTCTCTCTATTTTCCTTTGTATTTTCTTTTTAAATACCCTTTTTCTTTGTTTATCTTTCTCTCTCTCTCTCTCTCTCTTTTTCTTTCTCTCCCTCACTATGTTTCTCAGTTTTTATATCTATTCCTTCTTCTACACTCTCTTTCCTTTCTTACTCTTCTTTTCTGTCTTTTACATATAATTCCTTCTTCTTCTAATCTCTCTTCCCTTTGCTCTACTTCTACTCTCTCTTCTTCTTCTATCTCTCTATCATTCTTACTCTCCTCTTCTCTCTCTCTTTGCTTCTCTCTTTTACATTCTTTTAGTTATTTCAACTGAATACTCTTTTCTTTTTTTTTAATATTTTTTAATCTCAATATTTAAAAATATCCATTGCTTTATCTTAGAAAGTATTCTTATATAATCCATTTAAGAAATTCCACACTTTGGCAAGGATGTTACAATGTGAAGGAGAAAACACCAAATTCACTGGAGAGTTTTAAAGCAGTTCAAATTTAAACACATATTTTGATTTCATTTTTTTTTTTTTTTACACGTCTTTTCCAGCCAACAAAAATACGAAATAAGAAATAAAAATACCAATTTTTAAATTGCTTTCTCAAAGAAATGAAAAAAAATCAATTTCTCTAAATGTTATGTACCTATTTCCTTTAGCAAGGAAAACCTAAGTGGTCTGAGCATAAGACTGGGGGCCCTGAAGACTTATCTTCGTTCTTCATTCAATTTGACTAAGATCCAGTAATCTATTAGAAAATATTTTTTTAGTATTTCAAAAATTATGATTTAAGGCATTTGCTTTTTGGGAGTTTTTTTTTTTTGTGAAATGGTGTAATATGCACTGTAACCAGAAATAATCATTTTTTTTTTTTTCAATTTCCTTTTCATGTTTTTTCCTATTACATATCATGTAAATTTTATAATGACATTACATTATATGTTCATTAATTATATTATATTAATTATATTACATTATATGTTATGATATGTTATATTCCATTCTATGTTCATTGTATAGTATAGCCGGCCACTCGTACTCGAGGATACCCATCTACTAGTCAATCCCTATTGCAGATGCTTGCTCAGGTGCATTTGTGTTTATTAAACACCCACAGAGCCCACCTGTGGTTTATACTGCAACTATGCTGAGCAGACCTTAGTTACAGTTTCTGGGAAAGAGCGTGTTATCTAGCGTGATCAACAATTTGAACAAGGCCAGCACACTCAAGCCCTCAGCCACAATGACTTGTGACTTTGTGCTAGCACAGCTACTGATGGCCCCCTAAGGGTTCTGTTTACCCAATTTCACTCACAAGGCTTGGGTCAACCGGTGGTATCGTTTTCAGGCACTTTCCAGAGGTGTTGCATGCTGGGATCAACCTCTCCAGTCTGATAACATCAGGAAGCGTCCTTCCTTCCTGATAAATCAACCATGGTGAGAATCGAACGTGGGTCTCATGGTCAGAATGCAAACGTTCTAACCACTCAGCCATGTGTTCATTAATAATTTTATAATGACATAATATAATGTTTTCATATTACATATCAACCTTCTTTTTTTGATATTACATATGACATATATTACATATTACATTTTTTTACATATGTATATTTTTCATATTTTTTCATATTACATGTATTAAATATAATTATTCCATATTTTTTTCATATTACATATATTACATCTGACACCTTCCATAGACCTGGGAAATATATCTCCTTCAGGCAGTAGTTTTGACAAGATTGGAGGTGAATAATTCTATGCTAAGATTCTAATGAACAACCATAGGAATTTCATCTGGACAAGTAACTTTCGTAATCAAGGCTTTTCATATGTCTAGATACTTTCTTAGCTGAGACAGAGATATTACAGAGTTTGTTTCAAGAAAGGATGTCAGGTAGAGTATAGCCTTTGTCATCTAGCATGAAGTTAGAGGTAATGTCTATAGTAAAAACCCTAGACTTATCTGACATGGATGAGATAACCTCAAGGCCATTTATAATGGAAGGTACTGGTAGTTTGCTTCTGTGGAAAAAAACTTATTTGTAATTTTTCAGAACTTATGAGAACCAAGTATTTTTATTTTCAACTTTGGCTTGAACTCTTTTTGTCTAGCTGCTTTTAGCATTTCTAAGGACACTCTTGTACTGCTTGCAGACAGTTCTGAAAGCAGTTATGGCATTCCTTCTGAGAATGATGATAGAGATGGTAGTAGTGTTTACATAATGAGTTGACAGCCATCATGCTCATATCCATTTATCACAATTTTTCCATATCTATCTATCTATTTTAATTTGTTCATATCTATCTCAGTTTGTTCATATTTATCCACCTATCTCACTTTGTTCATATACATCTATCAATCTCAATGTATTCATATCTACCTCAGTTTTTCATATCTATCTATCTATCTACCTATCTATCTATCTATCTATCTATCTATCTCAGTTTGTTCATATCTATCTATCTTTATTTTATATCTATCTCAGTTTGTTCATATCTATCTATATTTATTTTATATCTATGTCAGTTTGTTCATATCTATCTCTCTATCTCTCTATCCATGTCAGACTGATCACATCTCTCTCTAGATATTTCCGTTTGTTTATATCTATCTACAACAGTATCTGTCTAGCTTATTCTAGTCTAATTTTCATTATATGTCCATCATATGAATTCCTCCATTCAATATTGATTGGTTTATAACCAGGCAATGTTCAATATCAGTATTAAGCCATAAGTGACCTTTTAAGTGAATCTTATTGAACAGAAGAAAAGCAAAAGTGGGCATTTGCTTTCCTATTTTCGTTATGAGAAAGTACTTTTTTAAAATTCTTCAAATCTCCACTTTTAAAAAAATTACTTTGACAAATGTCATCCGCCAGATGTCTAAAACCTTGGGCCATTTCACTGACCTCTACCAATGAGAGCACTGCTGCGAATCATAGGAGAAGTAATGGAATAAAACAGGCTTTTCTGGCACAGCACCAAGTTCACTGACAAGTGCTGACTCAGCCAGGTGGAACATCAAACAAAATTTTGTTTATGGAACGTGCTTATAATGTTGAAGAAGAGTTGTCTAAGAGTTTTGCAGGCTACTGAACTCATTTATTGCATTGTTTCTGTTGTTCACACAATTGTATCATCAACAATACTATTCTCAGCAACATGAATAACACAGGTGATATTATATTTATATATGGGGTTGTTCATCAATTCCGCCTCTGCTGACAAAAGAAAGCTACACTGTGCTGAACTCTACACAAGACAGATTTACACGTTCCTCTGACAGAATGATACTGCTTTCATCAATTTTCTCACTCCCCAATTGGTTGGAGGATTTTGACATATCAAACCATAATTATTTGATTTAATCTCAGATTCAAATATTATTATACTTAAGACTAGAAGTAGTCATTAGTTGTATTTATACTTGAGGCTATAGGAAAACATTGGTTGTGCCTATATCTGTATCTATAGATAGACATTGGCCCAATCTATGCTTGAGTTTATAGGTAAGTAATTATCATGTCTATACTTAAGGCTATACATAAACATCAGTCATGTCTATACTTGAGACTACAGGCAAACATTGGCCTTATCTATACTTGAAACTATAGGCAAACATTAGTCCTGTCTATATTTGAGATGATTAGTAAATAATGGTCTTGTCTATACTTGAGTTTATACTTGAGGCTATATGTAAACATTGGTCCTGTCTATACTTGAGGCTATATGTAAACAATGGTCTTGTCTATACTTGAGTCTATATGTAAACATTGGTCATTTCTATACTTGAAACTACAGGCAAAAATTGGCCTTATCTATACTTAAGACTATAGGTAAACATTAGTCCTGTCTATACTTGAGACTATACATAAACATTGGTTGTGTCTATGCTTAAGACTACAGTCAAATGTTGACCTTATCTATATTTGAGACTATTAGTAAATATTGGTCCTGTCTATACTTGAGTTTATACTTGAGACTATATGTAAACATTGGTCCTGTCTATACCTTAGTTTATACTTGAGGTTATATGTAAACATTGATCCTGTCTATATTTGAGGGTATATGTTAACAATGATCTTATCTATACTTGAGTCTATATGTAAATATTTATCCTTTCTATACTTGAAACTACAGGTAAACATTAACCTTATCTATACTTAAGACTATAGGTAAACAGTAGTCCTGTCTATACCTGAGACTATACGTAAACATTGGTTGTGCCTATGCTTAAGACTACAGTCAAACATTGGCCTTATCTATAGTTGAGACTATAGGCAAATATTGGTCCTCTCTCTTCTTGAGAATATTGGTCATGTTTATACTTAAGACTATAATTAAATATTAGTTGTGTCTGTATTCTAGACTACAGCTAAATATTGGTCATGTATATACTTGAGACTATAAGTAAATATTGGCTATTTTATACTTGATGCTATAACTATTATATTGGTCTTGACTATTGGTCATCCTATACTTAAGTCTGCAAACACTCAATTGAGACATGGTCCATCCTTGCAATGGTTTTATCCATCTGCACTGTATTCAGTTGGTGTATTCTAGGTGCTGTTGATAGAGATTTCTCACTCCCAGAGGTGTTCTTTAACTATTATTTGGACCTCATCTCTGACTGTCTGTCACTACTTCTAACAAGAGTTACTTAATTGTTGTGATTATTATTAACTTTTCTGAACTTTGAAATTGAATATTTCTGTTGCACAGAAACTGGTTAAAACAATGAACAGATATTTTAACTGCCAGCAGATTGAGTGAATTATGCCTATAGAAAAAAAAACATTGCAACGATATGACAAATATTCTATCAAGACAATGCTAACATCAGGATCAGGAATATGGCAAGGTTTTTCATTACTTTTATCTATATCTATATTTGTGTTTATTTTTATAGAGAGGAATAGATTAACTATTTTTTGTTTTTCTCTTCTCACTACCTGTCAATATATACGCAAACACATATATATATAACTTGAAGCTATCAGTGTGCATCAGGTATTTGAGAACAAATTTAATTTGAAGTAATTATTATTTAGAAAAGAATATATTTTTTACAGAATTTAGCATACATGTTCTTATATATATATATATATATATATATATATATATATATATATACAAAACATAAATGTATTCAAGATAATAGCCATCATCTCCAATCACTACATGAATCTTCTTCTTTATATGCCATGCTCTCTCAGGATGTAGGTGACCATGGCTCTCCACAATTTGCTATCTTTTTAGCTCTTAGTAAATTTTGTCTTTTTATTTCTCCTAAACCCTGCACTGCCATCCATTTACTCAAACTCATCAAGTATGTTATGCACTGTTTTCCACTGTCCCTCTTGTCCTCAATCTGTCCTGATATGGCTTTTAAAACAATTGCATGCATTGATCAGGTGATCTCAATGACAACAACATACCTTTTTATCTCCTGCAGAATTGAAGCTTGAGAAAGGTATGAATCCATCTCTTCCCTTTACCAGCTATGGGTTAAATAACAGAGCAGATTTGGCTCTCTAGCATTTGTTAGCAACCAGTCTAGGAAAACTCTGAATTCAGAACTGGTTAGGTGAGGGTTTAGCAATTCCACCTTGTAATTACCTGTGACAGAAACTATATGGGACAGAGTACAAGGGGGAAAGTATTCATGCCTTCCTTTTCATCATTATCATCATGATCCATGACTGGTTGTTATTTTAGGGTTCCTACACAGCTCTCCATCTGAACAGTTCTCAAGACATATATGTGTCAAAAGACAGAGAGGTATTCATTCATGCATAGTGTGTCAGTAAACCTGATGAATCTCATCCCTCTCCAGGTTAAATCACAGCTGATATTGAAGGCTGCTGATTCCTTCAGAGGAAACCATACTCTGACTATTGACTTCAGTTTAGGAGGCCCTCTACTCAGCAGTATTGTGTGTGTGTGTGTGTGTGTGTGTGTGTGTGTGTGTGTGTGTGTGTGTGTGTGTGCACAGTGGGGCAATGGTTAGTGACTTGGAATGAGAAATCAGAGAGCCAACTGAGTCAATTACCTTCAATCATGAACAATTCTCTTGGGAAAGATATGAATCCATCTCTCCCTCCTGTGCCCCAGCTATGGATAAATTGTAGAAGAGACTGGGCCCTATAGCTTTGGCTGGCAAACAGTCTAGAAGGACAACTCTGAATTCAAAACCTGAGGAGGGTTGTTTGGAGACTTTTTGACATACTATGTGCATGACTTCTCATATATATATATATATATATATATATATATATATATATATGAGAGAAGGAGGCAAAGGAAGAAAAAGAATGTGAGAGAGAATTTGGATGTAATTAATATAATGAACACATAATGAAGATTAGTCTATATTAAAATAAGCTATGAACAGACATAGATAGATAGATAGATATGCATATGGTTTCTAACCTCATTACATAGATCAAATTTATTAATGTTGGGATGATAAATATTAACAGATACATAGACAGATATGAACTGCTTAATATAGATGAATAGAGTAATTTTTAACTGATATAGGTACATAAATAGATAAATTTGTATAAATATAGAATGATAAATATAAAAAAATGAGAGGGATTGACATACTTTACTATGTTCAGCAGTAAAAGTTTGAGATATCCAAATTGAAAGATATTAATAGAGAGAGAAAGAGACACAAATTGGTGAGATTAACAGACTATGATAGATTTATAAGTGAGTAAAATCGAGAGGAAAATTAAAGACTGAGAGAAAGAGAGAGCATAAGAGAAAGAGAAGAGAGTAATAAACTGTTTGATGTAGACAGATTACATATGCAGTATGGGAAATTATATATAAAAAAAAGGGGGTTACCAAAAATAAACTATAAAAAAGGACAAATTTGGTTGTATTTTTCATTTTATCTCATTCTATTCCCATTTGCTTTTTCAGTGAAGGTTATGAAATATTATTTTTTACCTTCAAAAATAAAATCCCAAATGAAACAATTGACCTCCAACTTCAAGGAAAAGAATCTTCATTTTTTTTCATTATACTCATTGTGAAATGATTTTTCTCATCATTTTTTTTATTTCATTTTTTATCAATTTTCATTTTTTCTACTTTTATTCCAATTTGAGTTAAAGCTACTCAAGCTTGATAATTTGAAATGTATAATATTTGATAAGTAAAATAATTGCTTACTTAACTAATCATGCTTGAATAAATAAGGTTGGTGCAAGTTCATAATAGCTCTTATAAATTTTATATATATACATATACATACATATCTATCTATCTATCTATCTATCTATCTATATATATATATATATATGTGTGTGTGTGTGTATTTATATACATATATATGTGTGTGTGTGTGTATTTATATATATATATATATGTGTGTGTGTGTGTGTATTTATATATATATATGTGTGTGTGTGTGTATTTATATATATATATATATGTGTGTGTGTATATATATATATATATATAGATATATAGATATATACATATATATATATATATATATACACACACATATATATGTACATACACACACACCCATATAT